ATAATAGCGCGTTCGTTCCCCACCATAGACACCTGCGGTCCAGAGTTTTGCAAATATCTCAGCAACGTTGTGGTAATATTTATTCTGTTGACGTCATATCGTCTTCGTCTTCGTCAGAGCCGATCATCTGACCATAGATAACCGAAACGAATCATCGGCTCTAATGAAAACGAAGACGACTCGACGTTAGCCGAATAAAAATTATTCATCAACCTCGTGTAAATTTCTCAAACAAAGAATACATATTGACTAGTTATACCGAAGTTAAAGAAAAGCCGGTTTTGAATTATTTTTACGTGACTGTAGGTAAATTTAAAACATGTGGTTTATAGAGTTGGTTTAAATGGATGTGGAAAGGTTTTCAGGAGGAATTGCGAACGTTTACGCTGGTCAACCGTTGGACACAGTAAAGGTGAAAGTTCAAACATTTCCACACCTCTACAAAAACTGGGTGTTTTGTCTTAGGGATACGTATCGATTGGATGGTATTAGAGGATTGTATGCCGGTAAGCTGTAGCCTGTCGCTAACATGCTTCCCTCAGTCATGTAGCTTTATATGTTACAAGTTGCTAACTTTGTTGAGATAATATGTATATTATAACATTCAGATAATATCCAGATAACATTCAGGAACAGTGCCGGCTTTAGCGGCTAATATATCGGAGAATGCAGTTTTGTTTGCAGCCTATGGATATTGTCAGAAGGCAAGTGTTTTTAAATTTCTCTTTTAATTAACTAATAAGAAAATGTGGTGAAGCTGCACACATAGGTTGCATTCTGTATTGTTGCTAGAAGTGCGCGTAGCGCAGTTGTCGGAGGCATTCTGCAATACACGTAGGATCGATCGCCGCGCTCATGGCCCACGAAACCTTCCCTCCTTCTGGAGTCGGCAAATTGGCACCAGACTTGTATGGTAAGATAGCAGCACTGGCTCGATAAATCGGTAGTCCACTGCGAGTGAAATAGCCACACTTGCATTCCTTCACTTCCTAACGATGCCTAGTGAAGTTGAACGCATGGCGCATCCTCTAGCGTTAGATCATTTCAGGCGGTTTGCTTCGTTACTGGACATCAGGATGTGAAGACAATGACTCCAGTCGAGAACGCCGCTTCTGGATCTTTAGCGGCCGTCTTCGCGGCTATCGTTCTGTGCCCGACGGAACTTGTAAAATGTCGTCTACAAGCAGCTCGTGAAGTCGGCGTTCCTTGGTAAAAATTTTTTCCAATGCAACGGAAGAATTTACATTGTTTTGGTTGGATCGAATTAGTTTTTCTTTACATTTTTTGCTCTCTAATATGCCATCAATCTGTTGTACTTCTTGTATTTCAGCACACCGTTCTCTGTATGTAGGGATATGTGGCGGGATAAAGGCATTCGCGGATTTTTCGTTGGAATGACTCCAACCCTAGCAAGAGAGGTTTTAAATAGTTCATTCTTTATGTTAACTTTTTTTATTCGCTGCATGTTACAATTTTTCACAGCAGGATGTTATGTGAAATACAACAGTTATGACGCTGAGACATTTGCAAAACTCACCGAAGCTATATATTGGTAGGAACGAACGCGCTCACCACCAAACCATGCGACGCTTTCGTCTCGCTTGTTTCTCAGTTAGTTTTCTATCTACTAGTGCCATCAGCAATCACCCATAAACGGAAATGCGTAAACACTAAACGTTAAAGGGTAATAGCGCGTTCGTTCCCCACCGCGGATGCCTGCAGTCCGGAGTTTGTAAATATTTCCGCACTATTATAGTTCTAGTTCATTCTTTGTTTATCGACGTGAATTTGCGAATTTTGCCGTGGCAGAGCAATGAACAGTGGTGCAAGTGTTCTATGTGGTATCCGTAGTCAGCTGGAGAATTGCATTAACCACTGCATCTAGCACTGAGCACCATCCGTTTTTCCATTTCTTTCTGAAATCGTTAATAAGGTCTGTTTGTGTGCATTTTGGGCGAGTGCAAACGTAATTTCAGGTGCCTGGTTACTTCTTTTTCTTCGGGTCCTATGAAACTTCGCGATATTTGTTTTCCAAAGAGGGCCAGCATAAGGATGATATTGGTTGGTGAATTAACATTATTATATGACGTACTTGACACTTGATACTTGAATGACCCGTCCTCACTGGTTGTGCAGGCCCCACCAGCAAAATTTCCATTATTTTGGAGTTTTGCTGATTGTGGTTCTCTGGAGTGCCGAGGTTAGCCGGGCCAAAGTGTGCCTTAGGTCGTCGCCACACAGGCAGTTGTCGCCCTTGTGAATCAGATGGAGGTTTGCCACAATGCAACTAGTTTGGTACTAAAACGGTGGTAGATCCTGGCATTAGTATTGGTTTATTCTTAGCCGTGTTTCCTAATGAGAACGCCGGACTCCTCAGCCTAGGAGGCCCTGCTGGAAGGAAGATTACCTCCCCTGTACATCGCAGCTCGGTGCTCAGGAATACCTCTCGGCCTGGATAAGGCGATAAATCGTTAGGAGGCACTACATGAGATTTTGTCAGTAAATTCGAACCTTCGTTAATATATGCAGTATCATTAATCCCCTTTTTTCAAGACATGTGAGCATCTCCTGAAACATAACTTATGAAGAAAACAGTGGTAATTTGATGACGCTTCTATATGCATGTCTGTCTAGGCTTGGTAAAGACAGCAATATCTGGAGCAGTGGGTGGTATGTCATTATGGACGGCCACTTTTCCATTTGATTCCATAAAATCCCGAATGCAGGTTTGTGACAACATTACTTTCCAGTGGTTCCTACTACCTTTCTCAAAAGTCCAGTCTTGTTGAAAAGAACCAAATGCGGATTCCCTATATCATCCGCAATTTTAGGTTACGGGTAAAGGGAGTTTTCTTCGGTTACTGATTCATGTTGCAAAAACAGAAGGTGGGTGCCTTCATATCGTATCGTAATATTGTTATTAGTTTTTTCTTCTATTTATTCTAGTGTGTTACGAATGAAATAATCCTTTTATAGGTGTACGATCGTTATATAAGGGTCTACTGCCGACTCTTGTTCGTACGAGCTTAGCATCAGGAAGTCTTTTTGTAACATACGAAGAGTCTAGGAAGCTAATGAAATCCTTTCTTTGAGTGTGAAATTTCCTTTTGAAGACAAGGTTTGTGTTTTGATTGATGTAGGAGGTTGACCATAGTTGTTTATCTCCTATGCACAAATGTTAGCGCCTCTAATTACGGAAGGTTGTTTGCGAATTCTTATAACCTCGTTACTTCTGCCTGCACATTAATTAGTTTAGGAATATAATTAGGTCACTTTTAAAGTTCGTTGATCGTATGTGATGATTTTTAAGGAACTTTACCACACTTTGTACCCGTATTGATATGACATATCAAATAGTCATAAGACAGGTTGAAACTTCACAAGCTTTCAGCTCCAGAATTTTTTATTACTTGCGTAATTGATGTATCATCTTTTTTGTGAAACTGAAATCCTCTAACAAACAACTTTGACTTGTTATATGAGCCATGTTGTTAATTGTTCATGTTAAATGGTTCTGCAGGCTACTTTTTAGACCTAGTTGCTACAAAGGTGTCCATCGCTTTGGAATAAATTCTTTCTTATACTTAGCAATGTGGTTACTTGAGTCGAAGCTCAGGATTTACTGCCCGCTGAGTCGTCTATGGTTTGTATTTGCTTCTTTATGAATATGGATGGAGACTGCTTGTCAGATTTTATGTTTTAGAGCAAATTCTTGGACATGTAGAGTTATGATTGAAAGTTGCACAAAATTTTCATCGAGCCTTTAACTTGATATCTGTTCTTTTATAGTTTGTATCCTCTTACTCGAAGGACGCGTGTGGTGCAGTAGTCGGAGGCGCCCTGCAATATCGATCCCCGCGACCGTGGCTCACCAAGTCTTCCATCCCTCCGGGGTCGGCAAGTTAGTATCAAACTTGTCTGGGAGGTTAGCATCACTAGCTCGATACATCGGTAGGCCATCGCGAGTCACTGTAAAGGTCAGATATGAATTCATTCACTTCTAAAGATGCTTAGTGATGTCGAAAGCATTGCGAATCCCCCAAAGATTGATCAGTTCCGGGAGTTTGGTGGTTCTTATCCCTTTATCCTTCTCTACATAAGGAACTTTGCTGAATTATGAGAAGTGAGAAGTCCTTTGGTTTACTTAATAAGATGCACCTCTGTGATAGGATTGCGGAAGTTTTCATTCATATTCCAGTCTATGAAACGTGAATGGTTGGTTGACCTGCAATTTGAAGTTCAAGGGAAGGCTAGATCCGTAGGGTTAAATGACAGTATTATCTACTCATTACTCTACAAATCGTACTCCAGTTGACTAAACTTCTGAATAGTTAAAGCGACCGTTTGTTCCAAATTGGTTCGTGAACCACAAAGGACGAAATCATAGCCTATCAATTCTCTGGAAGGCACAAATTTTCCTGGATATGCTATCATTTGATGACGGCAGCTTCATTCTAGCGCAGTCCACTTGTCTGGTACATGATAAATACCTACGTCGTTAGAAGAGTAATAGCAGCAGTTGGAGCAACCCAGAAAGCATCGTACGCGCAAGAGTTCTTCAAGGTTGGTTCGTTAATAAATCAGTAGAGGTTCGTATTTAGCAGGTCCTGGAAACTTAACAGGTTCTACAGACTAACATATAACCATTTCTGGTGATTTATGCAAAAATGTATTAAAAAGAAAGTTGGAGTAGCTCCTGTCGCCATCGTCTTAATCCTGGTAGTGTAAGCTGTTGTAAAACCATAGCAGTCATGAGCTAAGGACACGGAAAATATGATAACCTAGACTAATTGCTAGTTGTTTAGTAAGAAGTAGATAACAGAAATTACGCCAACATGACTAGACCTCAAATGTCTGACTCCTGTGCGCTTCATTTTCTCCAGTTGCTAATAACCTAGACGGTGTGGTTTGTGACTAGGTTCTGTTGCGGTTTGAGGGTTTGGAAATTGATTCTAACCATGAATATAGTTAGCTTATAAACTCAACGACGTGGGGAATAACGATTTAATATTGAGAATGGCGGTAGGTGTAGTAGTTGCGGGTCCCCTCCAGTGCACACTTGCACAGTCGCTTCTTCCGTACTGCTTCGCAGAAATCCCAAACCTACCATCCCTCTGGGATCGGCGAATTGAGACTGGACTTCTCTGGGAATCTGACTTTACATTTTCGCAAGCCGAGTTTTACTTAACCTCAGGAATAATAGTCAGCATATGTTTGGATTGTTCACCTTAAAAGAGACTGTTACGAAACTTTTATTTTGCTAACGTTTCGGCACCATCGTCTTTTTAAGAAACGGTTTGGTACGAATTGATTGTTCACAGACGTTTATCCTAGTGATGTGAGTCTTTGTAGTCGCGGATTGCTGTGAACAGTGGAGTTGGATCAAACCGGTTTTGAAGAAGGCGAAGCTGCTGAAACGTTAGGCGAATAGAAATTTTGCAATAACTTCGTGTAGTACGAGCAATATAAAGAATATATCTACTAACTTGATACATCAGTGGGTCCCGATGGTCATGGCATAGGCAAATATGCATTCAATCAACCCTACGATGGTTGGGGTGGGATACAAGCACAGTTCTCAGGGATCGATCGTCGACTCATTTTATCCTTCATGCTTTGGCAAGAAGTAAATCTGACAATTATCGAGGAAATGGTTGAAGTTTGGATGAAGAATTACGAGTTGATGATTTGTGAAAGCTTGTTCTTATTGTAAAATGGATCGCTGTATAATGTTTGAGACGATGCTGGAGTTCTTCTTGTCGCTTTCTAAAGTGAAGTTCAGCGATTTGATGCTGAGAGAGATTTCCGCGCCTGATGTACCTGAACTTTCGACCCCTTGTGTATTGATTATCGCCTTCTGATTTAATTAAGGCGTTAACCAGTTTAATTCTTTGATCAGTGGTTGCATGGGATATTCTATAAATATTTTTGGATAGTTTTATGGGATTGGCTATATATCCAGAAGTTGAAGGAGTGGATTATTATTGGTGTCAATGTATTGAAGTAAATGCATAGGTGGAGGTAGATCCGAAGAACTTGTAGAAGAGAAGAGATGCTGTCGCCTTAAGCATACGTTTTTTTTTCAGAATTTGACTTTAACGTCCTTAAATTCAAGTAATTAAAAAGTGAGTTTTAAGTGTTGCAGCGTCTAACAATATACCTACCTTGAGCAAGTTATATTGTCGCTGTTGAGTTGAAACTTTCGGAGTATTTCCTTACTACTTCAATAATAAAACAACTCAGCTTGCGTTCGTCTTTTCCACAGTCTAGTGAGAATACCCTACAATTGACCTTACCAGCCGTGTGCTATGCTGTGCAGTCGGATTAATGTTGTTCAGTTATCTCCCGTTTTCGAGTAATTCCTAGGTGGTGTGGGCGATATGTCAAAAATGCGTTAAAATTCGTTTTGGGTAGGGTTTACTCACAGAGCTGTTCGATAAGAAACTCATTGTCTTTATTGGCGTATTCCTCAATCCTCCAATGATAAAGAGAAAGGATTATATGCAATTTCCTTTGTGAAATCCTACTCGTTCTCTTCTTTTTGTGCTCCTTTTAATGAGTAGTAGGAATTATTTGTCTTCGAGATTAAATAGCCTTTTCGTAATTGCTTACTCTGGTTGTTGAATCCGGCGCCAAACTGGTTCATATGTCCGCTTTCACGGATCTTCCGTCTTTTTTTTGGAGTTAGTTCCTACATAGTTGAACGCATTAACCTTGATGATGATAGCAGGTTCTCCATAATGGCTACGTTCAGCCGTCAACGCGGTCCACAGTAGTGGTTCACGTCGTGCATGTTGACTTCTGCGAATTTAACTCTATGGTGTACAGATGGTTTTAGGTTGAGAACAACTGAGTCACTAGCGCGTTCCTTCATCATTTATGTGGTAATGTTCGCTTACACAACCAGTCATGGGCTTCTTGTTGGTTCCGGTTAGGTATCACGGAAATTGTCACACATATATGTTTAACACTTAAGCTCCAAGGTTCTTTTTCTACTACTGCTGGTAATTTTTCGATAACCAGGATACTTGACGAGCTGGAAACATGATTTTTAGAAGGAAGTTTGCTGTATCTCTTTAAGGGCAAGCACGATTTTTTAGAAGTGTTATTTGATCTGTTACTTAGTAGAATGGGAGATTTTGTATGTTACTGGCGGAGATCTGTAAATTCTAGTGGCATCCACTTTAAATCATAAATTTCGCTTCGAGTTAAGATATGTTGATCGGGGTTGGAAGAAGCCGTAACTCGGTGAATAGAAATCAAGTCTTGTCGGAACCAAAGTATTGGTGGAACCTTTTTTTCAATAAATTTCTTAAAGAATTTCCCTATACTGCATAACTCTGAATATGCTTGCGTCGTTTTCTTGTTCAGTAATCGCGAGGTTTTTATGCTAATCAATATTTCCGGGTCGGTTCGCTCGTTAATCTGAAGTTGGATAGATCTAGAATGAAGGTGTAAAGCAATCGGTGTTAATCATTCACTTGGGAATGTCCCATGCATTCGTCCTCGTCAGGAGTGGTAGAGTTGTTTGAATGTATATCTGGCCTATGCAGTAACTTGCGGTAATCTTCCGATGTATCAAGTGGACTTTTTTATCCTCCAGACAAGTCCTGTAACTCTTTATCAATCCTGGAGAGCTGAACGGCTTTGCGAGCCCGTGGGCCGACTTTGAACCAACGACTAATCCAGCGTGTATTGTAGGGCACCTCTTATAACGGTGTTATAAGTGGCCCTAGCAATCTACGATAAGTTAAGACGTGAGTGTAAAATTAAGATTTAAGGTGACATTATTGAATTTCCAATCTGGTTCACGATTGTAGTGCTAAAATGGAGCGGTCTGAGTTATTAAATAATAATTCCACTCAAGTTCTACAAGATCGGAAAATTACAGGCTTCATTGGTCCAATTTGTTTCTGTTTCCTAATTTATTGCTTTTGCGTTAAAACAAGCTTTTTAAGTGACAGTTCACTTTGCTTCGAATATCACTTTTGACAATTTATTATATTCTTGTTGAGTAAACACGAGGTTTATTGATTCGTTGACGAGGAAGCTGACGTTTCGGCGGATTTCACCTTCCTCAGAAACTGGAAAGATCAAGTTCACTAGGGTATCACAGGGTTCAGGGTATCACTTTTGACAGTTCTGCATTGGAAGATGTAACGAAATAAGGCAGTACCTAATGTGAAATCCCACGTTTCAGGGTTATGAATTGTCTGCGTTTCGTATTTTATCTTGTGTATCTGTAGATAATTGTGATGTCCTTATCTGTTTTTATCCTCACCATGCGTCCGTTTTTGTCTTTCTTGTTGAAAATCCGAAAATTTTATTGACATTGCTTTACAGGCTGTGACTGCCGTCAATAAAGGACGAGGAGAAAAAAAATCTGTTGCGCCGAGGTTCACAAAGAAATCGCACGCAAAATTGTCGGAATACCTGAGGAACATGGCTACTCCTGAAATTGAAGCCGTGGGTTTCACTTCTACGGCTTTCCTCCATTGCTTGATCTATACGTTAAATATATGTGAATATATGTTTCTACTAGAGAATAATAATTGTCTTTCCTGTGTTTAGCAGCTGGCTCCACTACGTACGGCTGTGAAAGAATATGGCGATCTGGTTCGTGCTCTCAAGGCCAGTTTCTTTCTGTTTATTATAGCAAATTTTTTGTTTCTTAGGGTTCAAAACAACGCAAATCAGCAGCCCCTTCTATAGCCTGGTTTTTATTAACTTATTGTCATATATCCCACGACCGACTTTCTATTAACTTCACCATTAATCAAGTAAATCTTCGTATTTATTCACGAATAAGTAGACGTTTCGGCGGATTTCGCCTTCCTCAGAGCATGGAAATGTCAAGTTGACAGCAGTCTATTTGGCTAAGGCCAAAGACCTCCATAACCAAACAGAGAAAACGATGAGCCAAGATTTCAATCACATTGAACACAGTTTTGCACGCTCACCGCTTTCTATGAGGCTTCCACTGAGTATGTCGCGTGAAGACCAACCCGCACAGAATTCACGTGGAAGCGTAATGAGCCCCTCCCATAAGAATAACAGTCTTCTATACTGCCCAATATCACGCGTGATAATGAGGCATTCTTCCTTGCGGTTCATCTTCGGATTTCTGGAATTAATCCAAAATGCCTCGAGAGTTTTGCGCGCTTGTGTTCTTGATTCGTGTGCGAGGATCGTGACTCATACTTCAAAGTCTTCCCCGTTATGTCTCTGGGTCCTATGCGCGCTTAGTGGGACATTTGGTAGACGTTTGCCGGCTAGGTGTTTTTTTATACGGACACAGAGCGGTCTGCAGGTTTCGCCAATATATTCGTCTCCGCACGCCTTACAAGAGATCAGATAAACTATACCCGAGATCAAGTAGTCACCGTCTCTACCACTGGGGCAAATTATGCAACCTAGGATTTCTCCTCACCTATCCCGGGCTGCAGTTTCGCAGCCATTAGAAATGGCTTCTTGCCGCGCCAAGTTCCGGAACTCTTCTCTTTGCTCTCTTCCCGTGCACACGTTGGTTGCTGTTCAAAACATGTTTCTTATAAGCGCCCTTTTCATGTGAGAAGGGTGAGAGGATAGGTAATGAACCAAGATGTTTTTACTACTTGGCTTTCGGTACCACTTCGTAATGTAGCCATTTTCTGATAGGTGAATTTGTACGTTCAAAAATGGAAGCCATTTTTCTTTCGGCTTTTCTCGGGTGAATTTGATATACTCTGACTGTGCGTTTAACAATTCGAAACATTTGTCCATTTTCTCTGGTGTTGAGCAAAGGACAAAGCAGTCGTCTACATACCTACAGTAGAGTAGCGGCCCGAGATCAGTCACCGGTGCTTCCACCTTAGACACAAATGCAATGGCAAGGCTTGGAGCCAGTTGTTGTCCCATTGCCAACCCTCTTATTTGAGCGTAGTACTTTCCGAACCATCTGAAGATTGAGCAGCTCAAGCATTCTTTTAAAAGTGCCATCAGGTGCTCTATCTTGAAGCCATACATGTTTATTTCTCCTTCGTGTTGTGTAAGGAGTTCGAATATGGCTTGCATTGCGGAGTCATTCGACACGTTTGTATAAAGGGCGGTAACGTCGAAGGACCCCATCACGCACGCGCTGTTGGGCTGCGCAGTACGTAGACGATCCAGAAACATCTGGGTATTCGTAAGATGGGCTGGAATGTGTTTCAACAGCTGGTTAAATATTAGGGTTAAAAACCATGTTATCCTGTCCGTTGGCCCGTTTACGCAGCTAATGATAGGTCTAACCTTAAATAGTGATGGATCGTTGGATGCAAGATCATCGCTGGATACTAACTTATAAGTTTTTATAAGTAAGTACAAGACGGGGCATGTTGGTAAGTTAACTTTAAGTTGAGAGATAACTGATGGTTTTAAACCAGCACCCCTTGCCATTTTGGCCCATTCGTGGTTTTGTTTTCGGTATTTACTTTTGAATTCCTCCTCAGATGATGGACGATATAGCGAAGACTTGTATTCAATTTGATTTCATGTAAATATCAAATGAGGAAAATGAACAGAAAATAAGGACTACTTGTAAGATTTGCTGATTCAGTATATATTTTGATCCATTGGAGGCTAAAGGACTACTTTGCGCAGTCTTACTAAGAATTGAGTTTATTGGAGGGAATTAGACAGCAGCTAACCTTCTTCACGACATTCTGGAGTATTATGAGCTAAGTAAGCTCTTGAGTTACTGAAGCCACTGGTGTCCTGAGGACAGGATTGGTAGATTGGAGAAAACTAGTCTGGGATCTTCTTCAAAAATATTTCTGTTGTGGAAAAACTTGACTTTAGTATGAAATGGTGGCAGACGGGACAAAATTTGTTTTCTTCTAATTTATGCCTAAGTCGTTTCTTTGCCAAAAGTTTCATTTGAGGTAGGAGCGACCATAAGCATTTAAACCCTCGGCCCCAATTCTAATAACGAGGCTTTGAAGTTTCATTCGTAAACATCCGAAATTTAACATCCACTTCATCATTGGGCTCTTATTGTCTAAAGAACGGCTGAGGAAATGGTGCTATTGGTAGGGCCCCCGCTTGATCTTGTTCGAACCTATTTTCTCTTTCCAGCTTTTGCGAATTCTGTCTTGAAGTTCATGTAAACCACATGCGACCCTACGCAAGGTTATCTTAGAAATGGGTTCAGATGGTGAGAAACTCGGCCCCAATTCTAATAACGAGCGCGCACCGTCAGGGAGAGTTATGCCCCCTAACACGGTTAGCCTTGAATTTTCTTGCACATTACCTATCCTAATGTGATCTGTTTGTTGTTTTTTAACGATATTTTTGTGCGCTATTGAAGCTGTGTTATGTGATTTACTCAAAAGGTCTTCGAATTTTCTTCGCAAAGCTACTTTAGCATTAGACCTAATAGAGTTGCAAATCAACACTGACCCGCCCACTATTCTCCTCCAGAGGCGGTCCTCCAAATATTGAGCACAAAAGTTTTCCTTCGTTTCGCACTTCTTCCACTTGGCGAGCATCTGGTTTTGTATATTTTCACTATCATATATTTTAGGCAAATGGAGCGCCAAAAATTGATATTGACAAAGCTGTGCTTGAATTAAAAGCTAGGAAGAAAAAGTTGGAGGAAACGGTAGGGCGTAATATATGGGTTTCTTTATTGGTATTTATTCTGTGTTTTAACTCATTTGTTTTGCTTTATGTTGATTTCTGATGAAGGATTTAATTTATCGTTCCATTGGTGAAAGCTTTCTGTTGAAATTGTCTAGGTTACAGAGTATGAAAATTGGAGGAGTGAACGTTTATTAGTTTATGCAAAACAAGTTATTGCAACTTAGGAGGTTTCACTTGCTCCAAAAGAGGCTTCATTTGATCGTCTGAAACTTGAAGATCTTTTGAAACGTCGCTTCTTTTATGATCAGTCGTTTTCCATCTATGGAGGAGTCACAGGATTGTTAGTTTACTTTTACATAAACTACAAATGGTTGGACTTCTTATTGTCGACTAGAATTGTTTCCCAGGTATGACTTCGGACCTATGGGATGCGCACTGAAGGCTAATATGATACATGAATGGCGCAAACATTTTGTTCTTGAGGAAGGAATGCTTGAGGTTGACTGCACATCACTCACACCCGAGCCAGTTTTGAGGTATGTTGTGTTAAAATAAAGTCCATTTGTCATTGAACTGTATCTAATCGAAAGGTGTCGACGCCTCAAATAAGAAATTTCCTTCGCTTTTGGCCATAACAGTTATAACTGATTTTACCCAAAAATTTTTTAGGGCTTCCGGTCATGTGGACCGCTTTGCGGATTGGATGGTAAAAGACATAAAAACCGGAGAGTGTTTTCGTGCTGATCATTTGATCAAGAATGCCGCTGAGAAGGTTATTTCGGTCAGTATCCATTTTTGTACTGACTTTCAGAAACTATGTTTTTGTCGTTCTACTTTTCCGTTCAGGATAAAAAAGCCGATGAAACTATGAAAACCGAACTTCGAGATGTTTTAGCGCGTCTGGAAGGTTTCGACGACAAAGATATGCTTGAAGTATTTACCAAACTATTGCATTTCCAATTATAAATTGTGTTTTATTTGGCTCTTCTTTTCAGGTAATTACCAAGTACAACTTCAAATCTCCAAACACTGGAAATGACCTCACCCCACCGATCGCATTCAATCTGATGTTCCCGTCGCAAATCGGGCCTACTGGAGACTTCAAAGTATAATATAGAAAATCATTAGGTCATTGCTGAAGTCTCACTTTCCGTATTTTTTGATGTATTTAGGCCTTTCTCCGTCCTGAAACAGCACAAGGAATCTTTGTGAACTTTAAGCGTCTTCTAGAGTTCAATCAGGTTTGTCCCAAATGATTTCGTATGATACATGAGATTAATGTTCTACTGTGTTATACTTTCACGGAAATATTAGTGAAAAGTCTGGCGCAGTTGTGCTCATCCTCCCTCAGGTGCGTGTGGCGCAGTGGGAGGCGCCCTGCAATACAAATATGGGATCGGTCGCTGCGCCCAAGGCTCACTAAGCCTTCCGTCCCTCCGGGATTAGCAGATTGATACCAGAATTCTGGATAGTCTGGGAAGATAGAAGCACTGGCTCGATACATTGGCTGACTACCGCAAGTCATTGTAAAGGCCAGATACGCATTCAGTCACCTCCAAACGATGCTTAGTGAAGTCGACTGCATGGCGCATCCCTCAAGGATTGATCAACGCGGAGAGCTTTATCCTTATCCTTTTACTATGTCATATGGGTTAGCATGTTTCGTACTTTTTAGTGAAATCTGTTGGTGTTTCAAGTAATGAAATATATTAATAGATTCTTGGTAGTCATATTTATCAATTTTCATAATTGCGGTGTTTGAAAATGAGTCATAGATAGAATTAGTGAACTACAGGGAAGGTTGCCTTTTGCTGCGGCACAGATCGGCCTGGGATTCCGTAACGAGATCTCTCCTCGTCAAGGACTCATTCGCGTTCGAGAATTCACCATGTGTGAAATTGAGCACTTTGTGGATCCAAATAATAAGAGCCATCCTAAGTTCAAAAAGGTAAGAATGGTTCTAACTTCTATTCTTTTTGATTATTCGTTCAGATGTTTACTGAATGTCTTACTTCAGTATTTCCTTCTCATTTTGTATCCTAGAAATGCGTTTTCCGTTTTGGTAAACTGAACCAATGGTTTAGGTTAGCTCTTATGCCATGATGTTGCTATCAGCTTGTAACCAGATGGATGGACAATCAGCGCAATCGATCAGTGTTGGTGAAGCTGTGGAAAAGGTAGTAGCAATCCTGTTTAGGGTTGTTTTATTTGCATGCAATTTTTATTGGGCTATGTATGTGGTATAAAATGGTGCGTGTTGCTTATTGGTCAGAGGCTCCCTGCAACACACACGTGGTGTCGATCCCCGCGTCCATGGCCCACGAGGTCTTCCATCCCTCCAGGGTTGGCGAATTCGTACCAGACCTCTCAGGGAGGATAGCGACACTGACTCGATACATCAGGAGGCCACCGCGAGTCATTGTAAAGGCCAGATATGCATTCAATCACCTCCAACGATGCTTAATGAAATCGGCTGCGTGGCACATCCCTCAGGGATTGATCGATACCTAGAACTTTATCCCTTATCTTTTTTTATGTGTGTGGTATTACCACCATCGAAGGAATTGTCGCGTATCCCATGACGATAAATACGAAATCGAATGACTCTAGTGGTGGTGCCGAAGAACAGTTCTTTTGTTCCTTTTATTCAGGGCATCGTTGCTAATGAAACGTTAGGATACTATATGGCACGTACACACATGTACCTTGTCAAAGTTGGTGTTGATCCAAGACGACTTCGATTTCGCCAACATCTTAACAACGAAATGGCACACTATGCTCAGGTGTGTTGACGGCATTAAACCTTCATTTGACGTTACATCTTTCTTGACGCGAACATCTTGAACGCCTAGGCATTTTCACTTTTCTAAATGGTGGTGCTACTCTCAGCAGCAAATTAAGGGGTTTTTCTGCATATTCAATCGCTTTCCGTTTCATAGGACTGTTGGGATGCTGAAATTCTTACAAGCTACGGTTGGATCGAATGTGTTGGAAATGCAGACCGCTCGTGCTATGACCTTAAACAGCACTCCAGAGCCACGAACACTAAGGTAGCAGTCCAGCCATAATAATTTACATTTATTTCTTTTTTGTATACAGCAGCTGTACATTCCTGTTTTTGTTCATTTTATCATTTAGCTGGTTGCCGAGAAGAAGCTTTCGGAGCCACGAACGGTTGACATTGTCGAAGCATTAGCCAATATGACAATTTTAGGAAAAGAGTTCAAGAAAGATGCGAAAAAGGTGAACTTTTTGAGAACACTTCTTAAAACAGTAAAGTATCAAGAGAACATTTCAGGTCCAAATAGCACTTGCTCAAATGTCTGAAGATGAAGTGAAAAATTTGGAGAAACGAATGGCATCCGCTGGGTGAGAAGTGCACTTTTGGTGTCGGTAGTATTTCAGTAGAATATAGTCAAGTAATTGAGTTGTCACATTGTCTTGAATCATTTGTTCAGTATAACTTGTTTAAGGTCATATAAATTAAATGTGGATGGTGAAGGATTCTTGTTGACGTCGGAAATGGTGAATGTGAGGCGATCTACCAAGACTGTAAGAAATCTTTCCTGTTTAAAATTTTCCCTCTTTTCTTCTCTGATTTCCCTTATCGTCCGTTCTGAGTCTATTTTTCTGATTAGGTGTAAGTCATAGAATTGTTTAAGGTGCATGTTGAAGAAATCACGCCGTCGGTAATTGAACCATCGTTCGGAATTGGGCGAGTTATGTATGCAATCCTGGAACACTCGTTTAGGCAACGAGAAGGAGATGAGCAGAGAACAGTACGTATATTTGCTTCGCAATACCTAGAAAGCGTGCTCCTGAACTGGTCTTGTATTTTTTATGAAAATTGATTTACTTAAGCATATAGACGTAAATCTCGTTCTCCTCGAGTTTTGTTGGATCATTTCCAGTGTTTTTCTTCAGTTGTTTCTAGCTGAAGTGTTTTATGAGGGGATAACTGTCAATGCAACCGTTTCGTATCAAAATCAATATTCTTAATACTCACTTAATTGCAAAACAGTATGAGAAAATGGTTAGGTGCTAGTGATTGTAAAAATTAGTCCACTTTTTGAAGTGGAGGTTATCATGTGGATGTCTGTTGGCTTCTGTACTATTCCAAAGTCGTACTATCATCTAAGTGCTTATTTTGAAGCCTTATGTCGGAGTATTCTTTTTTCATAGTAAGTATACGAAAAGAATTTGTCGTTGATAATGATGTAATGTACTTTAGTATCTTATCTGAAAGATTTGCTTCACCAACAAGCTAAGGTAGTCTTATCACAGCGATGCAGCTTCATAACAGTACTAGGTTATTACAAGGATGGTTTGTTCCAAAAATCGTAGTCTTACAGTACTTACACATGATCCCGTTAGTGTTTGTAATTGCAGAAGTTTGCCAAGAAATCATTGGAACATAAGTCTACTGTTTTATAATAGTGGAGTCAATCCCTCGTTTCATCCCAGTTATTAGTAGATCTTTGCAGTTCCTGGCCCTTCGTCCATTGGTGGCACCAATTAAATGTTCAGTTCTGCCGATATCTGCTAATGAAAGATTAAATCCAATAATTGAAGCCGTGCGCGAAGAGCTATCCAAACATGACCTTAGCTACCGAGTGGTTTGTTCTCTTCTTTTTCTTTTCCTATTTTTTTGGTTTTTCCTCGGGTATTGAAAATACTTGGCAATTTTAAGGGGCCATAACTGTTACAGCAGTTGCCTAATGTTCATCGAGTTCGTGTTTAGTGCTTTTTAAATATTTTTTCGTATTTCTTCCGATGTGCTTTTTTACATAAAAGCGATAAAAGGATAAAGCTCCCGGTGTTGATCAGTTCTTGAGGGATGCGCCATGTCGAGTTCATTAAATATCGTTTGAGGTGATAGAATGCATATCTGGCCTTTACAAAGACTTGCTGTGGCCCACCGAAGTATCGAACCAGTGCTACCATCCTACCAAACATGGAAGACTTGGTGAACCATGGGCGCGGGGATCGATCCCATGTGTCGCAGTGACGCCTACAACCACTACGTCATGCGCGCCTTAATTTTTCTACAAATTCCGTTTCCAGTCGATAACTTTCCAGTTTTCTTTTGGAGCAAGGAAGTACTCTTCTTCTATGTGTGCGTGCTGTAATGTAGTAGCAAGTTTACTAGAATGTATTAAAGTCAAAATCGAGTGTGAACTTCACCGACGAACTTTTACTCTATTTCTTTCTTAGGATGATAGTGCGGGATCCATCGGACGGCGTTACGCTCGGACGGATGAGATTGGTATTCCTTTTGGAGTAACAGTAGACTTCGAGTCTGAGAAACAACCGTGGACTGTGACTTTGCGACATGCAGAGAGCATGGAACAAATTAGGCTGGATGTAGGCTAACTACTTAGTTTTTGTATCTTATTTGTTCTTATTTATTGCGAGTTTTGGTTCTCCATCGGAATGTATTTTTCAGCTAACGGAAGTTGGTGGTGTAGTTTCGGCTCTTGTTAATGAGCGAATGGATTGGACGATGGCGCAGCAAAAGTATCCAAAGTTCGAGGCGAAAAGTGACTAGGATACTTTTAGGGTTTGCTTTCTCATTTATTTATTCTAAGAATGTTGCAACTGTTGTTTTCTTCTTTGCGAACTCTTCCAATGTTGTCCTGAATTTGTTATTACCGATGTGGGTCTACTGTAATGGTTCTTTTTTCTAAAAATTGTGTTTGGGTTGGAAACCGGATTAAAGTTTGTAATTTTTGGATCTTCGCAGGAATTTTTTTACGTTCTTAAAAATACTAATGAAATATTGAGAACTTTAGTGTAGAAACATTTCACGACAGTTGGTCAACCCAAGTCACAAACATGTCCACTCTTGTAGTTCGTCGCCTATAGGAGTGCTACCATACACTTTGCGTCCATTCTTTTGCTTCTCTCTTGAGTAATAGGCCAAGTCGTGCTTTGTTTGCGATATGTATTTCCGTAATTCTATGAATTACGATATGAATGCACCAGAATGCCTTTCGAAGTACTGCTTCCTGTGTCATTTGAGCGTCATTCAAAGTCCTGGATAAGTGCGATGGGGCAATCTTCATGAAATGCTAGTTGAGCAGAATCAACAGGACGGTAGTTGCTGACCTCCATCATTCAACCATCACCCTTCCTCAGTAGAATGATCGCACGTGGGATTCACTGGTTTGGAATCCTTCATTTTGAAGATGCGTTGTCGTATGCATTACGAAGGGTGCCTGTTGATAGGTGGCTTAAAACAAAGGAAATGTGTTGTGATGTCATTTGACCCCTGAACTGTGCCTGTCTTTATTGATCGAAATTCTGACTTCAAAGGAAGAGTTTCATTACAGTATGATTTTTATCCAATAGGAATTTAGTTTTCGGATATTGTAGGATGAAAATGATTGCAAAAAACACAACATTTCCGTTATCAGGACCATACTGTGACAGGAAGTGCTAGTAATCCTGTCTTTATCAGGGCTGATAGTAGAGTTTGTTTTTCTCACTGTCCTGTTGTCATTGATCTTCTCCATGGATCTTCTGCAGATGGTACTATGTAGGTGGTACTCATTACCAACTATGTAAAGTGTATCGAAGTCGGAACTACCTTCAGCTTTTTCTCCTATAGCAACTGATTACTGGTTGACTTCTTTATTCTATTACTTCTGACATCGATCTGCAATAGCACTGGGATTATGCATACTCTCTTCAAGTGTTCCCGGTTCACCTTCGTAATGGATTGTTCTTAGATGTCAAGGTGGAGTCTGCAGCAGTGGGTATTGGAGTAAATCAACCTTAAACGCGTCCAACTTCTCCATTTCGAAATACAACTAATAATAAGACTAACTCCCAAATTAAAGCCGTATAAGCTTGATCTTGGGAACTTGGTCACCATTTGTTAGATTTGTGTCAACACCCTTCTCTGATAAGCGTGTTATCGATTATCTGTGGTGAGAACCGACGAAGGCTTTGGTAGTAACAGGCCGGCAGTTCATGAACAAGTCCTATTCAACCAGTAAATTTAATCCCAGTACTTAACATCCTAGCTGCAACCATCTGTGGCATCAGGTAATGAGATAATCGGTGTAGAACGACTAGATCTCGAATTGCAATGAACGACACTGGCTCGTTTAGTTCATTCGCGGTTATCGTGCGTCGCAGAAGTGATTGAATGCGTATTTGACCATTATGATGCCTTCTGCTGGTCTACCGATATATCAAATAAGTGTTTTTGTCTCCTAGGCAAGTTCGGTATCAATTTTCTGATTCCAGAAGGATGGAGGGCTTGGTTTGGCAGGGCGTTGGTTCAAGCCAGCTACCACGTGTTTGTAGCAGGGCATCTCTAAACATTGCGCTACACATATCTACCTCTATTAACCTTTCGCAAAGAAAAAATCCAGGCGATGCGCTATGGAAGCTGTGCAGCAAAAACTGCACATTACCGTCAAAAGAGGGTTTCTGCACTCTTTCTGATACAACGTTCTCCTTTACATGGTTACTCTAGAAAATGCTAAGAACAAAGAGAGACCAATTTGATGATGGACCTGTACTATTTGTCGATAAGGCATTCTACTATGTGTTGTCTGTTGGGTGGGCTATAGTTCACTCATCAGTTTTTACACCAACTACACAGGGTCCAGTAACCTGGTTTGGCTATTCAATACGTTTTTCTCTCTTTTAGTCGGCACGACCCAGTGTCGTGTATATTGTGCGGATAATTCTTCTTAATTCATTTCTTATATTCGATTCGTTTCCTCACATCCATCGCCCGCAAAGGTTTTCTGGTTCGCATGATGGTTCGATTGCTGTTTAAAGATCTTGGTCTTCATCCACGAAGGTCTTTGGACCTTTTCGTGCCGTCCGATCTGTTGCCTTATAACAGCTAAATTTAGTATATTATCATTGCAAAGCAAAATAGGAAACGGAAAATGAAACTGAGAGTTAATCGAATAGCATTTACTATTTATTAGCTTTGCGAGTGTGAACAACATTACGTTGGCACATTCCAATAAATCATCCTGGCGACACCTAAATATTTATGGGCGGTGGATTTGACTCTGTCAGAATGCAGCGATACTTTAGCTTAATTGATATAGTACTATTTAGTTGTTTATTTGTTTTTGTGGTCCAACTTCACGCACAATGGTGATCCCAGTACTTCTTTCATCCCATCAAAATTTAGCACCCTTAATCAACGAAGTCGTTCGGATTTGCGTGCTGGGCATTCAGCTGCCACGTGAGGTTTTTGTCTTCTTCATGCATGCCATCGCATCCTAGTAGAGTGAATTCTGTTTTGGAATCACGGGATATCTTTGCTAGAGTGTTTCAAGTTCCTCATCATATACAGTCGCCGGACATTGTGGATCAAAACAAAACAAGTCCGGTGGAAATTTGCCGAACTTGGATCGAGGAAGGCCCTAGCACGGCTATTCCTGGACTGTCTGCGAGATAAGAAGAATCAACTCAAGCACCATCCAACAACATTCGTATGGAAGACCAAAATTCTTAGGCAACTGCTGAAAGCACACGCAAATCCCAAGATCATAGTGGATGATGGGTGCGAGGAAACAAAGAGTGTAAGGAGTGCTGGGAGCCGACACGATATGTGTGGTGTCGTGTTATCCATAATAATTCTTTGTGGTTTGTCACATCATTAACGATGGGGGTTTTCTTAATTCGGCAGTCCCAAATACGCCATCGTTGAGTCTAGCTAGCTATTCATGGCTATCCTGTCGCCGGAAATCGTAAGAATGCAGGATCTCATACGAAATGTGTGGTGGTGCTCTTCCAGTACCCCAAGAAAATAGAGGCTATTGTGAGCAGAGCTTATGTGCTAAGGAGACGAATGTGCTTAACTTACGGCTATTCGAATCTTTGGTGATCAAAGTTCTTTTTCAGTGTAACAGGTAACAATATTTAGGGTCATCATCGAAAGTTCTATTTGTTTTAGTAAAGTTGTAAGCTGCGCTCCCCAGTTAGGAGGTGTAATAGTTGCATAGCTAAGTGTCGAGCTTTGAAACTTAATATGGCGAATCGAAATGAAATGAGTCAATAGACATGTATGACATACGACCGCACTCATACATCAATTATCATAAATTAGCGAGAGAGTTGACGAGACAGTGAAAGAGATGATTACAACTCATAGGAGAAGGAAATGTTCGCCGAAAAGGCGACCTATCGAGTGAATGACACCGGTGAGAACTGAAGAGGATACCCTTACGGAAGAAGACAGAATACTGAAGACGAGGTGAAGCAAAGTAGGAATAAAAAAGGACGAAGTTCTCCTTCTTGATCAGTCACCAAAGAATGGCCGCGCATTCGACATCATCAAGCATCGTTACAGGTGATTGAATGTAAATCTTGTCTATGCAGTGATTTGGGCTAGCCTACGGACGTATCAAGTCTATGTTGCTCTCGTCTCATACAAATCTGGCAGCAATTTACAGATCCTGGAAGAGTGGAAGGCTTAGTAAACCTGGGGTGCGCGGTCGAACTGAATACTACGTGTGCAATGCAGAGCAACTATCCGCCACACATCCCATGAAACTAAGTGGTTGACTTAATCTTCTCTTTGCCACCTATCACGTGCATTTTTCTCGAGAATCGTAAAATGATCACTATTATTAGTACTGTTATCGGAGCGCTCGAAGCGTACCAGTTGTAGGTGCTCTGTAAGACATCTATTGTCGTTGGTTCGATCACAGGTCCCGATCCGCCCAAGAATTCCACTCATCCGGTGTTTGCAAATCGGAGCCAGACCTGTGTGAGAGGATAGCAGCACTGACTCGACATATCGGCAGACTACCATAGTTTAATGTTTGTTCAGGATCTGCATTCAATCAACTCTGACGATGCGTAACGAAGTCGAATGCATGACGTGTCCCTATGTCATTGCTCAAGGTATACGACTTTATACTATTGCTGTTATTATCATTACTAGGTTCCCGTTCGGGTCCTGGTGCAACAGACTAAATAACTTCCAAATATTTTGTTGTATTGATAAGCTTACATAGAGTTCTCGAAGACATTATAGTGGCCGACGTTTCGGTGACATCATTTTCTTCAGCAACCATGTGTGCATTGCCCAGGTTCTCTAACCACCGTGCTACACGCTCCCTTTTTGTAAACAACAGCGACCTTCAGAAATATGACATATGCTAACGGTTGGCAATATAATTTTCCCTCCGAACTAATCACTCCGTAGAAAAAGCACTACTCTCAAGCTCTCAGAAATGTCCAGTCCATAGCCGATTCCTTCGCTGGGTTCCTATGTCCTCGGCAAGTGCACTTTGTTTCTATAAAGCACTTCATAGTGATACGTTTTTATTTTATTTTATTCGTTTTTCCTTTTTTAACTTTTATATTCGTGTAATTCCTTTTTTTTTTGTTTTTATAGGAGCCGTCTTCACGTCTACCGTGCGGATCCCAGTAGTTCTCGCATTGGATTCGTTTTCTCGCATCCATTATCCACGAAGATCTAACTTTTACGTGTGGTTTCTGTTGCTGCTTGAGGATTTTTATTTCATCTTGAATGTCGTAGAATGCTGGTCATAGCGATTCTCCCTGGAGTCTTGAGATAGTCGGGCTAGAGCGTTCCCGGTTGGATTTCAAAGAGTAGTTTTTTCACGGATACGTCCAGTATCAATTTTCCGACCCCGGACGGATGAGAAGCTTGGTGAACCCGGGGCGGAATCGAATGAGCATCGTGTTTGTGATGACGTACATCACTACCACTGTGCTATCTGCTCCTATAGAGCTAACAGCTAGAACTCATATTTCTTTCCTGAAATTAAACTCGGGCGTTTTCACCAGTTTTACATATTTTGTCATTATTTCGCACTTGTTATACTTCGCATATATCATTCGGAAGAAAACACACACACAAATGAAAACAACGCACATTTTGTGAACTACAACAGTATTATCACAATGAACAAAATCGTTAAAAGTCCGCTTATCACGTCATCTGATAAAGACACATAATTAGTGCGTATTGATTGAAAGGTAGGAGATATGATAAGCAACACCGTAACTAATAGGAAAGTTGGTTGGAAACGAAGTATCGCTTTATCAGTGAAGGTGATAGACTGAGATCAGGCATTTCCAACACGCCAATAGGAAACGATGTTGATTTTATACGAATCGGTCGTCCTTGGTCATAATAGGCAGCGGCGCAATCCACTCAATGAATACTTGGTACGTACGACCCGAAAAAAAATCGATAAATACGAGAACGTTTTGTTGTTCACCGGCTAGTCAATTCATATACATTTACGAAAGACACTGAGTAAATCAATAGATGAAATTTCAACGTTCTTTGTATTTTATTTCACGTTTGTTTTTTTTACTGAATGAGACTTCTATCCAGCAGGATTAGGAACTAGGTAAATAACAAACCCGATAGTTTCCGTAACTGACTAGTGCGAGATAAGGATTGTCGTTCAGTGAGATCCATTACAGTACCCAGAAAGACTATTTCTTAACCACTTACAATTTTTTTCCCTTCTCTATACAAAGGATCTCAGGGCCTCGATAGAAACTTTAGAATGATACAATCGATACGGGTTATTCAGACTAGAATCTTAGAATTATCAGCACTTCTGTAACTTCTATAAATGGAGCAATACAGTGATCATTGGTAGCAAAAGTACGGCGTGGACGAGTTTGTGGGTCCTATCAGACGAGTTGAGCGCCATCAGCATGTCGTGATCGTTGCATTGATCGCCGCTACAGGAGCACAACGTGACCTACAACAGTGGAGTTAGCAAAACAAAAATTTTGAAATCGGCCATCATTTAGCCTCAGTGGTAAAATAATCAACACGTGTCTATATTGTTGAGCTTACACGAGGCTGATGGGGATGTTTATTCGGATAATGTCTCGACGTTATCGTCTTCATCAGAGCCGGCGATCCGAGTTCATGGTCTAGAGTTCGTGTTCCCCATTCAACAGTTGTGTTTGTATACCTATACTTCCCTTCATCCTTCCAGGTTCTGAAGAGGGCGATGCTGCCAAGGCGTCAGCTTTAAAGAAATAAAGAATAAGGTAATATCTCGTGTTTGCTGAACAAGGATATCGAGAACTATTTGGTCAATGGACGCGTGTGGCGCAGTGGTCGAAGGCTCCCTGCAACACACACGAGGAATCGATTTCTGCGCCTATGGCCCACCAAGTCTTTCATCCCTCCGAGATCAGCAAATTGGTACCAGACCTGTCTCGGAGGATAGCAGCACTGGCTCGATACATCGGTAGGCAACCGCGAGCCATTGTAAGGTCCAGACATGCATTCATTCGCCTTCAAATGATGCTTAATAAAGTCGAATGCATGGCGCATTCCTTTGGTATTGATCAACGTCTAGAGCTTTATCCTTTTTTTTATTTTATTTGATTAATTTCGAGATTAATAGAAAGTCCGTCGTTGGAGTCCTGTTTTGAGGGGGGGGGGGGATTTTGAGGTAGGAGTCACTATCCTTACGCAGGAATCGAAAACATCAGCGCGAAAAACTCTTGAAGCGTTTTGGATCAATGCCAAAAATTCAAAAATGAACCGCAAGGAGGAGTGTCTTGTCATCACGCGTGACCTAGCGCCATACCTCAGGCTGATCCAATGATCTGACATGGACCCAGTTATCGACCATGTACTCTGTGCGGCGGCTATCCACCAACCAACTTAAATACTTACAACAAATAAACGGTAGGTGTTTGAATGAAGCTGTTTCTTATGCGAATACAAATCGATTTATCAAGTTTTATCTGCTAGGGTTATGAAAGTGTTTGGCTGAGTAGATCGCATCTCAATTTGACCTTTCCAGGCTCTGAAGAAGGCGAAACCGCCGAAACGTCAGCAATTGTGTTCTAATAAATTCTATATTAACAACCTCGTGTCTGCTTATTGATGAAAAACATTGAATTATCAATTAATGCCGAGGTTAACAGAAAGTCGGTCATGGGAGTTCTGTTTGTTTCTTCAACTTCTGTAGCTGAAGAAATATTTACGACTGTCGTTTATTGGTCTCTTATTACCGTAGGAAATTGATTCATTGCACTCATTTGACTCGTCCAAAGAGTGTAATTACAAAAGATCTGCTATAGGTATCCCAGCACTCCTTGCATTCGATTCGTTTCCTCTCATCCATCATCCATGAAGGCTTTCCAAGTTTTTAGGCGTGGATTCGGCTGCTGCTTGAGGATTTCTCTTTCATTATAAATGTCGTTGAATAATGGTTGAGCCGATTCTCACTGGAGTCCTGAGACAGCCGGGCTAGAGCCTTCCAAACTGGATTGCAGACAGTGACTTTTTTCCAGACAATGGTTATCCCGAAGTGAGATTGAGCCAATACCGTGCATCACTACCACTGTGTTATCCTCCTAACTTAAATCTATAATTAAAGTAAAGCAAAATAATAGATAGAGTTAGATATGCACAGTTGAGACCCAGCTGTTGGAAAAAATGCCGTCTTTCTGCTGAAAAAGCGTTCTCCTCATTCTCCGACTTTATGAATTTAAAATAAGATAACGTTGGACTTTTATTTACTACCTATTCTTTTTCATGGTAAACATTATGTGAAATACAACAACAAAGATACTGAGATATGAGCAAAACTCGGAACCTCAGCGAGCCTCGACGGGTGATTGCTGATAGCACTATTGGAATAAAAAACTAGCTCAGAGAAAAGCAAAGCAAAGACCTGGGTTGGTGTAGTGGATAGTAGGCGACCCTTTGGAAGAGTAGTCTCGGATTCAAAGCCTACATGAGGTTCTAAGTCTTGCTCATATCTCAATATCACTGTGCTTAAAATAAATTAGTTAACAAAGAAGTAAAGATAATAGGACATTTTTACGATATACTTTCTATTTTTTGATTTCTTGATTCACAATCAAATTTAGTGTTCGCTTTGAGTTTATGCTCTCTGGTGATAAAAAGCCATTTTATCTATTAATGTAGACACTCCCACTGGGATTACATATGTCACCTGGAGCCTGAAAGTACTACAGTACCCTATTTTGGTCTGTCAAAAATCACTATCGTGGTAATGTTCATAAAGCAAATCTCATAATATTAAGCGCTGCCTGCATTTCGTATGAATGCGTTCGTGCATTTCTCCGGATTGCTGGCAATAAATGGTCTCGACGACGTCGTTCGCTAATCAGGTGCTAAATTGCTACGTTAAGGGTGTTGAGCCAAAGTTGCCGTGCTCATTCCGACCAGTAGACCAACTAGAATCGTTTGCAGCTTCCAAAACAATCGGTAGCACAACCGGCATGAGAACGATGAAAAAGCTAGTGACGATATGATTAGGATTTGAATTGGTGTACTTTACCTACGTAGTAATGAAAAATCATGCAAAATGTAATTGAAAACTTGGCAAGAAGATAGTCCTAACAGTAAATGTATGGCTAGATAATAAAAATTAGCTAAAATAATGGAGTTCTTCGTTTACACATAACTCGAAAGCCACAACGAAAAACGAATGAAAACATTTTTTACTGCGATATGTAATTGCGAACGTCGTGTCGCACATATCGATCGATCAAAATATTTGAATCAATAAGCACCTAATTCATTGGATCTTAATCGGATTGGACTTATCATGAACGCATCTCAAGAGGAAAGACTCGTTATTTAGTGTTCATTTTACATTCAAACACGTAGTGAATACAGCGGTACATATTAGCTTGGATGAAACTTTGCCATCGCTTAAGAGGGCTATGCGGTCCAAACACTGCAACTATGCAGACACACTAATGCTAACTTCATTTTTCCAGTTAAAGTTTGAAAATGCAACAGTCTTAGAAGACTGTAGGACTCATATGTTCGCCGGCTATGAACTAGTTCAAGTTGATCTGTGTGAAAAATCCATACTAGGATCTACGTTTGCAAAGCACGTACTGACTACGATAAACGATATCATATGTTTGAAGTGATAAGCATCAAGAACAGTCAAGGAATGTTGGCCTGTTGCGAGAATCCGGCTAGTTGAGGGCGTTATGTTTTTCACTTGTCCTTCGCCCCATCAGGCAAGTAGAAAGTTCTTCCCTTTAGCAACAAAGAACTCGTACACATGAGAAATGAACTGGCTCTGCATTTCGGAATGTAATTAGTGATTGCATATTGATTTACGACAAAAAGTAGATTTGCAAAAAGTTAGTCAAGTTTTTTATCTGAAGGAGGAGAAAATATGTTTCATAACTATGTTTAGGGAAACTTGTAGAGACTTATTTCCAGAAAAATCAATTCAAGTCTCATACATGAAGCGTACTCTTACTCTTTTTTATTTAGTCCTTCTCATTCTTCCATAAATCTCTCGCTATTTTCTCAGTACTCTTAAAAAATTAAGTTATAGACTTTGCATATTCGAATCGGGATATTTTAGTACAAGCAACAACAATGTCATTTCTCATCATATGGTTTCCATAGATTCAGATATCGATCAATTTCGAATTCAGCGCATGCGAATGTTACCAAACAATGATGACACACGATTAATGGGTCCGATCTCGAGCCTTGGACTCACCAGGCCTACCTATTCGGCACTACCAAATCGGAAGCAAACTGCACTGGGAGGATAAAAACACTGACATGATAGATCAGTGTGTCCTCGGAAGTTGCCATTTTGTCCAAATATGCATTCAGTCACCTCGACGATGCTACGAATGTAGTGGGAAGGTATGGCAAATCGCTGAAAGTTGGGTCAACATTGAACGCTTTGTTCCTTTCGCCTTTTGTGGATTAGGTAGTGGTATTTCATAAAGACTTCGTGTGACAGGTGGCGTATTCCAGCAACGATAACGGTTATCGTGAAAATTATGACGTCTATTACGCGTTTCCACGGTGACCTTAACGCTAGTGTCTATAAACCTATTTCGTACGTAGTTCTCCAAATTATTCATTCATACATAGCTATACTGTAAATCATATTACTGGACGCATAAGTCGTACGGGAAAATAATCACCCACGGATTTAGATTGTTGTCAAGACAGCGGCACATAAAATAAGTACCTACCACATTACGGTAGACAGCGATTAGAGGGTACATCGACATTCAGGTTTTTTTTACGCTTTCAATACTTCTTATTCTAAGAGTTATAGTTTAATGACTTTTTCTGTTGCGCTCATGATATTGCATGAATTGAGCATGAAAGGTAATGTTTAGTAATTACTTATTTTACCTAGCCTTATTTAGATGACTAGATATCACACATTCCTCCCAACGGTTTACCGTTTCATCGTGGCTGCAAGGTATTCCTGGATGTCGGGCTTCGATGTACACCGCGAGATTCATCCCCTCAGCACGGCCTTCCAAGATGAGAAGGAGCCCAACTTTTCCAACTGGAAGCCCAGCTAGGAGTAGACCAATACCAGGAATCACCAACGTCCTGCTATCAAACTATGCGCACGGTGGAAATCTTTCTGTGATTTACAAAGGTGGCGACTGCCTGGGGCGATGACGACGTGGGGACGGCTTCACATAGGATGACTTCGGAACTCCAGAGAACCACAATGGTTAAACCAGCAAATGTATTATAAATCAGGACAGGGCCCACGCAACTAATGAACATGGGTCATCCATGTATCCAAGTATCTAAGATATTGCACATTATGCGCATGGTAGCACACCTTGCATTCGATTTGTCTTCTCGTCTCCATTATCAACGAATGTTAGGATTTGTGGGTGGGCTCGACTACCATTTGAGTATCTTTAATCTTCTTCATGAATGCCGTTGAGTGCTGGTCGAGTCGATTCTCACTCGAATACTGGGATATGCATGCTAGGGAATTCCCAGATTTTCACGACAGTCAGTAAGCAGCCCTTGTGAATTTTAGCTTCCCAGAAAAGTTCGGTACCGGCTTGTTAATTTGAAAAGGATGGAGGCTCACTGTGCCCAGGGTGCAAAATCGAACGAACATCTCTGTGCGTATTGCATGGCATCCAGAGTCGCTGCGTTAGATATGCTCATATTTACCTGTTCTCTTCTTCTTCGGCTTTTTATTTTTTTCTAAAGATGTATAATTCCATGCATATTACAACAAACATGCTCTAGATAAGCATAAATGAAAATAACAGGGAAGAACGAGAAGAAAAAAAATGAAGTCATTGGGGTTTTCTTTTACTTTACCAACTAACCTAAGTGAAATCGATTTCTAGTCCGCAAAAGAAAGATTTTCTTTCTATAGCCTCATTCAATTATCTCTAATTTCATTTATCATCTTCTCACTTCTGCTTCTATTATTCGACCCTGAAAACGGACAACGTGTAAATTGCACCTAATTGCTTATACTTAGGGAAAAAACACACAATACCACCTAATCACATAGTTCTCTTTGTAAACTATGTAATTTTCTATAATGCTTAGAAAGGAAAGGGCGAGAAAATCAATAAACAACAAAAAAGAAAAAACACATGAGGTGGTTGTCTATCCACCAGGAGGATGTAGAATGTTCATTTCTTTATCATTTACTCCAGAGATATCTTTGCAAAGAAATCTTAATGGCCACAGATTCGGTGCCGCTATCGATACTAAAAAATAGTTCAGAAAAGGTGAAAATTCGGTTAACTATCGACATAATCTATTTGCCATTCATCTTTTTTCATACTTTTTACTTGTTACGGTTGTCTGCGCGTATAGCAAAGTGGTAATGATGTTGAGTGCATGGCGCATCCCTCAGGTATTACTCAACGCCGAGAGTTTTATCCTTTATCCTTTTACGGTTGTCTGCTATAAATAGTCGTATTTCGCCTAAAGACTGTACTTACACGGTGTTATCAACTCTAGGAGAGTACTAGGCTTCCTACCAGTGTTGGTTAGAGCGCAGCTATGCAGATATTGGCGCTGACCAATAGGAAATGCCTTCCTTGCGTCTCTGACCACATATGGAACTTCGCAGTAAAAAATCTCCAAAAAAAATGTGATTTATGACGCTTTAAGGTACAAGATATACTATGACTAACTACCGTTGTTTAGTTGTCAAAGCCATGAATTTCAATAGTGAAAGAATTAGAAGTAAGCAGGAAAAAAATACGCAGTGAAACAAAATCCTACTTTTCTTGAAAGTTCGCGGACTATTTTATGTGTCAACTCATCGCAGTATATCGATAGATGCATGTCTAATTCTGCAATAGTATGGCTATTCAATGAAAAAAAAAAAGCTTAGTCTTTAAAATGTAACCTAGTGATCGTTGATAGCGCCTATAAAACACGGCTGAGAAAAAGGCGAAACGAAAGACATGCATGGTGTAGGAGTGAAGACGTTAGCCTCCAGAAAGGGTAATAAGGAGGTTCGAACCCCGCCACAGACATCCGAGGTCCTGGGTTTTGCAAATATCTCACCATCATTGTAGTCAACCTTTACGCATTTGGTTGCAATGTAAATATAATTTGCTAGTAACGCTGTATAAAGTACTCTTGAAGGTAATTGGTCTCCTAATTGGAGTGGATTCGTCTTAAAATCGACGTCAAACGAATGTATGAAGTTTTCAGTTATCCGGGCCAAATAACTTGTTTCCTTGGAAGCATTGTTTTTCGATAAGTACGGAAATCTCAGATAACAAAACTGTCAGTTTACGTCTTACGAACATGGACCGATCGAACTCACCACATCACTGTCAGTACTTAGTGGATAGAGACGAAGAATTTTTCTGTTTGTTTCTCTGCAAACATGTTGGCTGTTGTACGTGGACAACACGTTTCGTACGTCATCATCAAGACCGAATAGTAGAAGTCGATCCACGCAACCACGTAAAACACCACGTTGTTCGGAGAAAACTGAAAAATCGATCGATTATCGGCAGATTGCAAGCTGACAAGTAGTTGAAAGCAAATCGATTGCTAGTGGATTGAGTCTTTGTTGTTTGTAGCGTAATTTTATAAATATTGCGCTCTTCAACTTCACAATGCAGGTCTTTTTGTGTCTGTGTATGTCATGTCTCCCAAAAGGCACTCTCACGACCTCATCACAATTGCTAATTTTAGAAGAAGTTTAAGAAGAAGTAAGAACCAGGATAGGCGCTTACGATGTCATTCTTTATATGAACTCATTAGTGAGCAATAGAAGCAAATTACATCTACGATAATTTTGTAAAAATACGACTTTGTTTTTATGTAGTAATGTGGTTACTGGCTACAGGGCGCGTGTGGCTCAGTGGTCGGAGGCGGCCTGCAACACACACGTGGAATATCCCGCGCCCATGGCCCACCAAGCCTTCCCACCCATCCGGGGTCGGCAAATTAGTACCAGACTTGTCTGCGAGAATAGCAGCACTGGCTCGATACATCGGTAGGCCAACGCGAGGCATTTTATAACTCAGATTTGCATTCAATCAACTCTAACGATGATTTATGAAGTCAAATCCATAGCATATAGTCCCCGAATTGGCCATCGGCGAAAGCAGTTTCCCTTATCCTTTCAACTACGAGTTATCATAGAGGTTGGAATTGAAATAACGGTCAATCGCAAGGCAAATTACTGGTCAATAAAGTCCGAAAATAAAGGTTTTTGAATACCTGTGATCGGAAAATAAGGTTTCTCCAGACCAGTGCACAATATAACATGTGTTGGATAAGCTATCGCTGGATTAAAAGAAATGCAAAGAAAGAATTATGTGTCAAAAATAAGCCATCATAAACAGGATTTCCTATGCAAGACTCATGTCGGCCGCTCACGGAGCCGCGCATAGACACATACGTTCATATCGACCGTTGAGTGAATTCTTCCTTTCCTAGTTAGAGAAGAAACAACTCAGGAAAGTTAGAAAAAAATGAAGAAATGAACCAAGGAAATAAATTGATCCTCGGTAGTTGATGTTGATGTTGTTTACCCCCTACACGATCCTCTCTGACTGATAATTGCAGCCCATCATGCTCTTTTATAGGCCCAACTGTACTATGAAAACGCATGGCGATCGATAAAGCACTCTATGAATTGGTATTAATCTCATAGCAGTTTGTTTGATATGCACTGATCCATAAATGCAGCAAATGTATTCAACGCTACGCCTATAACGCGAAACACACACACATGTGCTTCATCTGTATGTGTATATGCATCACCATGTGTGTATGTGTTTACGCGTATATGTGAACTCGTACGTGCATTTGGATATGTATGTGTGTGTGGTTGTGTATTCAGTGCAACCGTGTGTGTCGTTGTGTATCGGTGTGTCCTTACGTCTACAAAAATGCACTCGTGCAATCCGTTGATTTTAATTGCTTGTATTTTCTCGAAAATTCTAACAATATAGGGTGTTAAGGAATTATAGGTGATCACGTCATAAATCTCTAACAAACAGAACCTCCTGTACCACTTGAAGTTTAACTAATGACCAAGTAACTCGAGCAGGCTTCCATAAACTACATTCTTCTGTCTGATCGTCCTCTTCGCATCGCACTTTTTTGGATGACAGAGCTAGCACATTCGCTTTAATGTGCATTGTTCTCAATGCACACCACAAATAAAGGAAAATTATTGTTTTACAATTCGGTAGACAAAAATTATGCATAGTCGCGAATGAGTTAGTGAGAGCAACTCCAACTTAGTCTTCATAACATCCTAAGGTACTAAATTATATGCATGTGGTTTACTAAGTGAAGTCTATAAAACGGTGAATTTGTACGAATGTGGTAGATTGTGGCAGAAAAGTAGGGAAACATGTCAATAACTACTGTAGTTTTTACCTATACGGTAGTTGAGTGAGACCTCGCCACCCCAGTTGTTTACTACACCTACTAGTACGAACAACGTGCAAGATGCTGTAAGATAAAGCCTGCAATTTTGCTCGCTTGATTCGTTTCTTTACTTTGGAGGCCTGTTAGCTTCTGCTTGACGTATTGAGAAGAATAACCGGATTGGTGTGAGGCAACTGGTGATGGTCAGAAATTCTACTACAGTTCAAATCTTACAAAACCCTACTAAATAATTTCCGTATCCTGCGAGGATTTTTTCCACTGCGGAAAAATCGAATGGCCCGAAATGAACCGCTTTCGCGATTCGTGAGCATTTTCAAGCTGCCCGATAGTAATCGTGGTCCCGGTTCTCGTTTTCTCTTCTCGGTACCTCAAGCGACCGCAGTTCTCACCGATGAAATATCGATTTGTTTGACAGGGATCATTGTGGATTACTGTGGAGACTGATTCTTATCAAACCTTAATGCTCGTCGACGTCAATAATGCTAAAGTGATCGTCTACAGAACAGCTCACTGACTTTGGATGAACAAAGATTTCACTTGTGTTTCATCTTTAAACTCCTGCATTACTGGACGCCTATGACGACGCCCTTTCGAGAATTATGCGAGTACCGACATAACCCCTTTGTAGGTGGCCCGTTTCATTCACAGCAACACTTATCATTCTCACTCTTTTAGCATTTTGAAAAAAATTCGGGGATCCAACGATAAGCGGCAGAGAGAACTGCTTTGTAATCATGCAGGAGCTCGCCGAACACCTCAGGCCGATTCTTTGACGTAAACATCCCACCAATCTTCATCAAAACGTGGGATACTCATAAAGAACGAAACTTTCAACGATTGAAAGAATATGCTTATCATGCGATTGAAATTTATGTGTATCGAATTTTTTCCGCTTGCGCTATGAAAGTGTTGGACTGAGTAGATTGCACGCCAATTTGACCTTTCCAAGCTGTTAATAAGGCGAAACCGTTAGAACGTCAGCCAGTACTGAATAATCATTGTTATTAACAACCTTGCGTCCGCTCAAGAAAAAGGTGTATGATTATCATTTTGCCAACTATTACGGGTATTGATCAGCTAGTGCTGCCGGTTGAGGTGAGTTGCGAGAACAACTGCATCGCGTCCTTTAGACCTCTTCTCATGTTCTATTTTATTGTTCCTCTCGTCTAACTGTCGTCGACTTTTCTTATACTACGAGTGACTATTCCGTTGGTCATCAAGAAAGGAATGATTAGTGAAGATTCGAGAATCTGCACTGAGAAAACATTGATACTATCTGTGCTAGTTGATCCTTCCGATTTCATTCAAACTACCTGGACGGGATTTCGCACACTTCACAACTGAGTTCAATTTTTAGCTTGCAAATCTCCACTCTATTATTGTTGCGGTATAGAGTCTCTTTAACTCAACGCCGATTGCGTATAATGACTCTGAACTAATTTATTCATATCGTTCATGACCTCGTCGCTGGATGCATAAAATATTCATGTCATGATACCTCCACAAAATGAGAACCATCAATGCCGTTAATATTAGTCATCAACTGTTTACAATTCAAATTGGCGAACACATTAGGAAAAACGTGTATTGATTCCAATGCGTATGTGAGCGTAGGTGAGTTGTACTTCCAATTCCCACTTTAAACAAGCATATCTCAGGTTATAGCTAACGTTTTTGGTTTATAAATGATTATGATCTAAAGTTCGTTATCAATAACTTACAAATTTTTGTACTATGCATCATGAAATTCTCTCTTCCTGAAGTCCACAGAAATTTTTTTCCTCGCTGATACTCCGATGTTCCGAGCAGTGAAGCGATTTACAACTCAGAAAGGCCTTAAAACGAACTACAACTACAATCGGGCCGAGTTTTCATGCGAGTAAGTGGATAAGTCGCTTCAGTGATGATCACTGTTTTTCAGCAGGCTTTATTATTAAGTAGACTAGATGGCTGGTATTTCCACTGTTTCGAAAATGCATTTCTTACCAATTGATTGCTTAAAAAACGAATTATGGGCGGGATAATCGATAAATGACCCTGGGCTGGATGAGTGGCCATTAAATGCTTGTAATTATGTGGGAGGTAATTTTCGTACAGTATAGTGTACGACCAACTTAGAAATCGCATCGATAATTGATTCGGTTTTTAAAGCTGTGGTTCGATCGGAATATGTTCACAGATTAGCACCAAATATACAGCTCAAATAAAAGTATACTTGGATTAGGTTTATACTTGGATACTTAAAAATTTGCACGGTCCGTCTTCATGGATTGTGCGGACTCTACCATATCTTCCATTCGTTTCTATGCCTCCCACTCCTCGTCCATTGCAGTGGTTTGATTCGAGCATGGCAGTAGGTGGAAGTTTCATACTGTGGCTTGTCAGACAACTGCAACGACGAGTAAAGCTGTTTGATTTTAGTTAAGAACACGTCCAGCCACCGTGAAGGTGGTCATCCTAAGGGACGACAGCATCGCCGAGGAGTCCACTCTGCACTTTTTTCGTTCATCTGTCGTCTGTTCTTTTCATTGTACGAGGACCCCATCTACGGTTTCGTTCTAAATGTGTGCTCGACGGGTCTCGAAGTTAAGATAGATTTCGGAGATCAGAGCTTCGCATTCCGAATAGATATTGAGTGTGTCGGTTATATCTCGAAAGACACCGTTCAAGCGTTCTGTGAGGGATGCGCAGTATTTTTGACGTCGTTGAAATGTCATCCCACATCTCTCTGTTTAATAACAGAGCGCTGGGAGGAATGTCGAATCAAAGCGTGGGAGCGTATTCTCGGGTTCTTTAGTTGGTCCGGGGTTTCTTTGCGACGTCCGAACGCGGCCCAAGCTGGTTTCCTTCTTCTGCCTAATTCCTCCTTCATGTCGTTCTTCATGTTCATTGAACGTTAAAGATACACGTATAAGGTGCTCTCTGTTATCAGAAAACTATCCGGTTTGATTTGTTCGCCTTCTCACCTAGGTTTTTCACAAACAGGGCCTTCTCCCCATTTATGAGTAGTCCGACCTTTTTTGCCTCTTTATTGATCTCATTGATAATCGTCTCTAGATAAAACTACATAAAGCGTAAACGGATTAAAATATATACACATATGTTATATGACTCGGATCAACGGCTCTGAGGAAGACGAAGACGTCGAAACGTTAGGCGAAAATATCATTATCGATCTCGTGTAAGCTCATCAAAGAAAGAATAGATATATTATAATTAGAAAATAACGAAAATGGAAAATAGTCTCGATTAAAAGACATGAAAGAACTCCTCAGGCTGAACCGAAAAATCTAGCTAGAATTCGACGGTGGGTTAAAGTCAATGCCTGTTGGCCTTAAAACGTTCGATTCTCTCAGCAATTACTAGACTATTCAATTGCATCGATTTCAATTAAAGTAACCGATAAAGCTATTAATTAATTCCAAAATGTATTAAATGTAAATGACAGCACCAATGAATTTATAATGTAATAATATAATATAATGTATAATATAATGTAATACATGTAACAATGTATAATATAATATAATGTAATATGTGACAATATAATTTATAATATAAACGAAGTTTAGAGTTCTACGGTTTTTTTAATCTACCACCACCGTCGTGGTATCAAACTAGTCCCATGATGGCAAATCTCCCCTGATCCAAAAGGACGGCGACTGCCTGTGGTGGTGACGACCTGGGCAAACTTTCGCTAGGGACTCCAGGGAGCCACAATGGCTAAACCAGCAAAACTCCGAGAAAATAGAAATTATGTTGGGGTTCGCACAACC